AAAGGGTCAGATTGCGTGCATATAATTATAGATAGTTAAAACTAAAAGTATTTGAACTTTTGACGGTTGTCCAACATCTATGCACGGTTACTAAACTAGTAACCGTGATCTATGAAAACCAGAAATTTTTTAGTAGTCCGAATTTTTGCACAGTCGAAAATAAAGCGGAAATTCAACAAGCGTTCACAAAAGCAAGCGATTGAAAAGCGGAAGCGGGCGAAAGGTTGGGCGAAATGAGTTCTGTACTTCTTTGTTTGATGAAGCGATGCTGATGCCACATTGTCGCCATAATGAGGCCACAATGAAGCGAAGTGATGACCGCCTCAACTTTTTATGTCGCGACCTTGAAGCGACGCCGAAGCCATAACAATGCCATAATGATGCGATGCTGAAGCGAAGCTGATGCTGAAGTGAAGCCAAAGCTTCCGCGAGAACTGTACTGTACATGTTAGGATGCATGTCCATGACAATTTGTTTCAAAATCTGGTCAAGGATGGCCAATTGACAGTCATTTTTGGCCTTAATGCTATATTTCCACAATTTATGTACCATTTTCATTCATATTTGGCACATACATCATACATATCAGTGTGTTTCATAATCAGATCAAAGATGGCCGAATAACGGCTGTTTTTATTTTTGCCCATATTACTACTACAGGGAACACGTGTTTTGATGTAAATAAACAATCTGTTGTATACGCCACTTGGAATGGAACTCAAGTTTCAAGGACACGCTCGCGACAACTTCTTCGCTTTAATATGACAAGCACAAAGAGAACTTTTAAAAATTTAACGAGAACTGTGTCATTTTTAATGACTTGTTTTTTAAGCGACTTCTTATTCCAAACCGTAAGTTAGATCACCTTGCTATTTATAGCACACCTATCTGAGGTGGCCCTCTTGTCAGATTTGTTCATTTCATGACATCACATTCAAATTTCTATTTTTAGCGACTACTTTTGTCATTTTTTGTCAACTGCTTGTCAGATTGCATTGAAATTTGGCATGAATGTTCTTGACATGAACTAGACTCTGACTTACTAATTTCATGAGACCATATGCAAGTGTCTATTTTTAGTAAATATGGTTTTTTTTACTTTTTTTACTTCTCCAAAACCTCCTGCCAGATGGCTTTGAGATTCATTATGTACCATATGGACTATTTTTGTGAAAGTTATGAATACTTTATAGATGGGCTATGTATAGTACATGGACTGTAATAGATAAGTGTATTGCTGGGTACTGAACTACCTGGGCCAATGTTTTTCAATAATGTTTACTTTCAGGTCAAGGTCATTTCAATGTTTATATGTTTTAGTCCCCGGGGACTTATGTTTTGACCGCTGTGCTTCTGTGCGTCCGTGTGTCCGTGCGTGCGACGCGTGCACTGGACCAATCACAATCAAACTTCACACATACATCATACATGATATTATACATATGCACGTTTCATGATTTGATTCAAGATGGCCGAATGGTGGCCATTTTTGTGCTAAAAATCATCAAAATCAAGCATTTTTTGGCTGTTTACAGATGGATTTTGTTCGAAAATGGTATATACGTTTGATATTATATGACCTTGATGCACATCATTTTATTTTTCAGATAAGATTCAAAATGGCCGAATGGTGGCCATTTTTGTGCTAAAAAATCACCAAATATCAAGCATTTCTGGCATTTATGGATAGATTTTGTTCAAACTTGGTACATACATCAGACATTATGGGTTCCTGATGCACTTCATTTGATTTTTCAGATCGGATTTAAAATGGCCGACTGGTTGCCATTTTGTAGTAATGAATGCAGCTCTAGTGCCATATCTCTGACATGGTTTGACTGATTACATTGTATGTTCAAATTTTATATATTCATTATACATGTATTCAAAATGGCTGATTTTTTTTTAATTAATGCTGTTCCAGAGCAATATCTTTCAATACTCGTTTGACGATCAGATACACTTTTGAGAACAGATTTCTGTGATTAACATATTTGGGGATACCGTATGATATTTTATTATCTTACATTATGTCACTATAGTTTATAGCCTATCACGTTAATGTAACTTGAGATTATCCGCCAGAATGTAAACTTGTCACATGTGTGATTCAAGGCTAACATGAGGCATTAGTGTTTAGACCACGAAATAAAGTAGTTCTGTAAAAGATCCTGTACCCCACATTATTTGGTGCCAAGACCAGGATGACTGATTCAGAAGAACAAGCTATTCAGCAGACAATTACGATGGATGCACGGACTGCTCAACGCGGAAGGATGACGACACTGCTTGCCTGAGCTCAAAATATTATGACTACGTTCAACGCCGAATACCCCAATCAGTTCGAAGAACTCATCATGCTAAAAGAACGAATTCTTGAAAAGTTTGATACGATACAATAAAGGGACTCGACACCCTGATTGCCGATAAAGCAGATAGAAGCGAAATACATGCGGTCATAGCTGAAACTGAAGATTATACAGACGATATATTTGCCAAGAAATTCCAAATTTACAGATTCATCGAGAGAAATACGCCAGATATCGCCCGCCAACGAAATACTTGAGAACATGTTGCCGTGACAACAAATTCTTCATCCGTTAACCTACCGAAACTCGAACTTCCGATGTTCAGCAGCGATGTTATGAAATAGAAGAGTTTTGAAGACGCTTTTATCGCCGCTGTGGACAACAAGATACACCTTGGTGTGGTTCAGAAGTTCCAATATCTTCGCGCCAAACTGTCCGGTGATGCCGCACTGACAATTGAAGGATTACAGTTAAGTAATGATAATTATACGCATGCACTCGAACTTTTACGTAAACGATACAGCCAAGAACACAAAATTACCTCTGCGTATATGAAGTCATTGTGTGAGTTACCAAAACCGATAAATACCCGAGATAGTCTTGTACCTTTTACGACAATTTAGAAAGTAACATACACGAACTGGAATCGTTAAGGAAACGGAGAACTCCTATGGTGATTTGCTTACGCCACTCATTATGGAAAAACTTCCTGGGAACATTCGGAAACAGATGGCACAGGACCATGGCGATAATGAATGGGCACTTCCCCACCTACGCAAAGCTTTGTTAAAGAAATCGTAGCAATACAAGCCGGGTACGCGATCAACGAAAGCCAGGACGAATTTCCACTTGTAAGCACCGCCGCATTCTACATGGGTACCAAGACAAACGTTAAGCCATCCATGCGTCAATCACAGCGCCTGAGTAAACTGAGAAATTGTGCCTACTGTAAAGGACCGCATTACCATAACGATTGCATTGTATTTACGGATAAAATCAAACGACTTGAAACAGTCAAACGTGATGTTTTTGTTTCAATTGCCTTGGGAAGCATCGCGTTTCTGAATGTCGATCGAAGGGTAGATGTTTAATATGTTCACGTAAACACCATACTTCGCTTTGCACTACCAACAATTGGACACCAGGCAAAACCCAACCCGCTGCTGTGCAAAATCAACCTCCTACTTCAAAAGATGTTCCGCGCGCTGAGCCAGTCTTATTAAAAACTGCCGTAGCACCTATTTCCGTGAATACAGACATATTAAACGCGACTATACTATTTGATGAAGGCGCAACCCAGTCATTTGTCACCCGAGAAACAGCTGAGAAACTGAATATGAAACCCGTCGCTTCAGAGATGATACAACTTGCTATGTTTGGAGACACTGACTCGAATGTCAGATCATTTGATGTGGGAACTTTTCAAATCCAAACACTCATTAGCGCTCTAACAGTTCCTGAAATATGTGCGCCTCTGTTGAATCTGATAACACACTCGCTCGTAAACTTGCCTCACTTACGTGGACTGAAACTAGCGCACCCGGTCCCCAAAGCTGATTCATTCCAAATTTCTGTGTTAATTGGAGCTGATTATTATTGGGATTTTATCGAAGACCACGTCATCAGAGGACCGGGACCTACAGCTGTTTGGTCTAAGTTTGGATATTTGCTTTTGGGACCATCTGGTAAGAAAAGTTCAAATATCAATACTACTATTTTGCATATTGCTACAACTACATGAGAGGAAGAAACGAAACTTCAGAATTATTGGGAACTGGAGACAATCGGTATTAAGGATGACACAAGTGGGAAATGACTTAAAGAAAATGATTTTGAATCGTACCATGATACGCATTTACGAAGTGAGAATGGGAAATATATCGCCAAACTACATGTACCGTGGAAATTGGACCACGCACCACTGCCAACAAATTATCAAATTAGCGATAAACGTACCCGCTCCATGGTACGTAGATTAACACCGGATTTACTGCAAACATACGACAAAATAATCAATGATCAATTGGCAAGTGATTTTATTGAAGAGGTGGTGGACGATGATGCTAATCGTGGTCATTATCTTTCTCATCGTCCAGTAAAAAGGAATTCAACTACAACGCCGATACGTGTAGTTTACGACTGTAGCTGTAGACAGTTAAACGATTATCCCAGCTTAAATGATTGTCTACAAACTGGGCCTCCGCTATTGAACAGTTTAACAGCCGGATTAATGACATTGCGATCTCTAGCGATATTGAGAAGGCCTTTCTTAATGTGCGACTACATGAAGAAGATCGCGAATTCACGAAATTTTTGTGGTTAACGGACCCTACCAACCCTGAAAGTACATTCCAGGTGTTTCAATTTAAATCGGTACTTTTCGGGGCAGTTTGTTAGTCCCCGTTCGAACGTAGTCCGAAAACGGGGACTTATGGTTTGCCCTGTGTGCGATTGGACCGATTAAGTTGAAACTTCACTCATACATTATATGGGACATATGCACATGCATTTTTTTCATGTTCCGATTAACGATAGCTGAATAGCGGCCATTTTAAGGCCGAAAATGCATCAAAATCGCACATTTTCACCATTCCGGACCCGGATCTCAGTTATGCGAGGACGGATTTTGTTCAAATTTGGTACATACATTAAACATAATAGGATCTTAATGCACGTCATTTTTTTTTTTCGGATCAAGTTCGAAATGGCCGACTGGCGGCCATTTTGTTTTAAAGAATTCTGTTCTGGATCAGTATCCGAGACATGTCTGGATTGATCAAGTTCAAACTTCACACACACATTGTACATCATGTCACAAATAGATATGTGCATTTGTTTCATGACCCGCTTAACAATAGCTGAATGATCAAATCAAAATCACGTATTTTCACAATTCCGGAACCGAATCTCAGTTATGCATGGATGGATTTTGTTCAGATTTAGTGCATATATTAAACATAATATAAGCTTGATGCACACTAATTTTTCTTCGGATCAAGTTCAAAATGGCCAACTGGCGGCCATTTTGTTTTAAAGAATTTAGTTTTCGATCCATATCTTGGACATGCCTGGACAGATCAAGACCACACTTCACACACATCATACAATGTGCTGTACATATGCAGGTGCATTTCGGATCAGACCACTGAAAGTGGTCTGAGATTTCGGTCATGATCTGCTTTGAATGTATATGTCACTCAAATATGAACGGAACGGGGACGTGTCATTGACAATGACTTGTTCACCATTTATTTTGAATGCGGTATTGAAAACTCACTTAGAAGCCAACAATACGACTCCTACTTCTGCTGATCTGAAAGATAATATCTACGTAGATAACGTTGTTTCTGGGACTGAAAACGTAACAGAAGCGGAGAAATACTATCATGATGCTAACGCCCTGATGAGATCATCTGGTTTCAATCTACGCTCTTGGTCATCAAACTGTAAAGAAATACGCACGCTTGCTGAAAAAGACAACGCCCTAGAAATGAACACCAACGTTGGTATCCTCGGTATTGCTGGCAAACTGGTGCACTTGCTATCAGGAAACTCACTGGACATAATCCGGACCACAGAGTCACTAAACGCTATGCTACTAAAGTCGTCTCAAGTTTGTTTGATCTGTTGGGATACCTGACACCAGTGCTCATAAAAGCTAAGATATTTATTCAACTTCTCTGGAAAGAAAACCTTGAGTGGGATGAACCGCTTGACGATATATAAACAAATGGGAAGAGATAATATCAGATGTTGTGGCCAGTACGGACATTACGATAAACAGGAAATACTTCGCTGATCACACTAAGTCTACCGATGTCCACGAACTCCACGTGTTTGTTGATGCTAGTCCTATAGCATACGGTGCTGCCGTGTATCTACGTCAAGATCGACATACCTCGTTAGTTATTTCAAAGACACGTGTTGCGCCACTCAAAGAAATGACACTACCGCGCCTTGAACTTATGGCAGCATTAATAGGTTCCAGGCTTATTCTATTCGTCTTTCATGCTTTGAAGGATAAGATTAACATCACGAAACACGTCTTATGGTCTGATAGCCAGATTGTTATTCATTGGATAAGAAGCGAGAAAACTTTGCCAATATTCGTTGCTAATCGAATTAAAGAAATCAATGAATTTCCTTGCGATGTAAAGTATTGCCCGACTAACGAAAACCCAGCTGATCTTATCACACGTGGCATCTCAGCTGAAAGTTTGATGAAGTCTGACATTTGGTGGCATGGGCCGACTTGGTTAAAACTCGGTGATTGGCCTGTCTTCAAATTATTTGATAGTACCGCGTATCATGTGGCCGCCGCAATCCCTGACCCTGAAATCGGACATGATAAACTTTGAATTCCAGCTACCAAAACGAAACCCATCAACCGTAAACTTGGAATACATCACGTAATTGACGCAGAAAGGTTTAGTACGCTTACTAAATTACTACGTATTTCTGCTCTTGTGATACGGTTCATTTCAAATTTAAAACGAAAGAGTGAATCACAAAAAATTGGGCCTATTTCCGTGGGCGAAATAAAACACGCTGAAAATAAATGGATAACGGACATTCAAATGCAGGTATATCAAGACGATAAAAACACGCTTAAGTCCGGGAGATGGAAGAGTACACTTTGCAGACAGCTCGGTCTCTTTCTAGATGAGGATAATATACTGCGTTGTGGTGGGAGATTGCATAATGCTCCTCTGGACTATGCTACGTGCTTTCCCATTCTTCTAGCACCCCATCAACGATTTACTGAGCTTGTTATATTAAACGCACACTCTCAAGTACTTCACGGTGGAGTACAGGCGACTGTCACCCATTTAAGGCTAGGTTTCTGGATTGTGAAAATTCGTAGAACGGTGAAGAGATTATTACACGCATGTGTTACTTGCCGGAAAGTAAATGAAAAACCTTATCCGAATCCGTCCACAGCACCACTTCAGTCGTCAATATAACTCCACCATTCACTATAACGGGAGTTGATTTCACCGCTGCCCTATATGTAAAATCACCTGCAAACAACAGAAAATCCAAAGCTTACGTCTGCCTATTTACGTGTGCCGTGACACGTGCCATACATTTAGAGTTAGTTCCTGACCTGACTACTCAAACTTTTCTGAACGCCTTTCGACGATTTGCTGCAAGGCGATCATTGCCTACCACGATGGTGTCAGATAATGCATTTACGTATTTATCTGCAGCCGACGAGTTACGCCTTCTGTTTGACTCGCCTGAGATTAAAACCTATCTGACAAACAAAAGTGTAACATGGAAGTTTATTCCCAAACGTGCACCGCGGTTCGGGGGATTTTGGGAACAACTTATTGGAATTACAAAGAACGCAATCAAGAAGGTCCTTGGCCGCTCTTACATAATGTTTGATGAACTACGCACATTATTAACGGAAGTAGAAAATGTCCTGAACGACCGCCCACTAACATACGTTTCATCCGACGTGGAAGATAATGCGCCGCTATCTCCGTCACATTTGTTACACGGCCGCCCACTTACGTCGCTCCCCCATGGCGAAGATGGGCCTCTGAATACCTAACCGCGTTACGCGAAAATCAGAAGATATCGGGATAAACGGAATATGTTGGCGATGTCGTGCTTGTGCATCACGACACTGATAAACGCGTTAAATGGAAATTAGCTACAGTAGTCAAGCTCAATCGCGGAAATGATGGTATAGTTCATTTTGCACATATTAGAACCGCTAACGAACTTACTAGTCGCCCGGTTATAAGTTATACCCACTAGAAGTTAATGTAAACATCACGCCTACCGAAGTCCTCAATAATGACACTCACATGGACGTAACACATAAACAGCGTGGTACTACTCTACGAAGATCAACGCGCAATGCAGCAGCTATAGCCCGCTGTAAAATACAAGACTTGAACAATGTGTGAACTTTACATGTGTTGTGTTGGACTATATAACGAACATTATTATGTTAGTAGTTTTGATCTATATTATTTCGATATCCAAGTGATCTTTTTATTCGATATTTACTTACTCGTTACTTTGCGTGTTATTTGTTCTATGTTATGACTTTATTCAAATTCGTTATTTACCTATATCATTATATACGTATATCTATTGATACTGTCGCCGCCGGGAGAATGTTGAGAACAGATTTCTGTGATTAACATATTTGGGGGATACCATATGATATTCTTTATCTTACATTA